GCCCCGCTCCTCAGTGCGCCCCCAGAGAAAAGCCGTCAGTCACTCCCGTCTCCCCGGTCTCCGGCCGCGCTCCGTGCTCAACCGGCCTGTGACTGCGCGTTTCTATCTCTGGCACCCGACCCGGTCTGGAGTCTCCAAACCCAGCAGATCCCTGCGGTGCCCTCCCGCGCGGCTCCTCCCGGGGGAGGAAGGTGAGTCTCCCCGGATCTGCCGCTTGTTGGGTCCCTGCTGGAGGAGCAGTGGCCCGGCTGTGCCGTGGATCACGGTTTATGGCCACCCCGAGCTGAGAGCCCGCGCCTGGGCTCCGCCTCTGCAGCCGGCTTCCCTGCTCCGATACCTGGGAGCTCTGCCGCCCTCAGGCACCCCCGGTCCTTCTGTGACCCCGAGGGTCCTGAGACCACACTGTCCCGGAGGGTTCCACCCCCCGCTTAGCCACCAGAGTGACGTCCCTCGGCGGAGCAGACTTTTAAAAGTTCCGATTTTGTGCTCCGCGGCTCTATCACTTGCCAGAAGCGGCCGACGGAGGCCCCTCCCCCGCCGTCTATCCTCCCGAATATCGCCGCGGATTCACTTCTCCACACGTCCTACCTTCCAGAAAGTGGTCGCTTTTCTGTTCAGAGAGGTGTTGCTCTTCTTTTCTTCGGTCTCCTGTTGAGTTTGTAGGTGTTCAGAATGGCTTGGTCCCTATCCAGCTGAATTCCTGAGAGGAGACGAAATCCAGGTCTCCTACTCCTCCGCCATCTTGCTCCCTGTATTCTATCATGTAGTTGTTAACTGGGTGGTTGTTAAACTAATCAAAATTATTTATGCTCAGACCCTTCTACTCAAGAACCAACTTTGAGCTTTGGTATACTTAAGACAGAACCGAAACCTTCTGACAAAGAAAGACAGGCAACTCTGACTGGCTCCAGCAGATGGTGCTGATGGTCACACTCGTCCCATCAGTCCCCAGCATCACATCCATTTCATTGTCTGGTTCATGTGCCTGTGCTTAGTTTTGAATTATCTTAAGAATAGGAATAACCTCATCATTTCTGATAAGTGCAAAAGCAGTGAGAATGTTGAAATGCTGGTGTCAGGGAGGAAGAATTTCCTCTGCCCATCAAGGTCCTTCCAGCCAGAGTAAGAATCAAATTGACATGAGACAGATTAACAGGAGAAAATCAAATTTAATTTCATATGTATGGGAAACCCACACAGACATGGAAATTCCAAAGACAGTCGAGCAAAATGAGGTATATATATATCATCCTGAACTAAGGAGAAAGAGGCTAAGGGTCTGGGACTTAAAGGGGAGGAATGCAATTCACAGGAAGATGAAAAGGAGTAAGTGTTTGGTGAACAAATGTTTGCTGGGCCACTCAAAAAGAATGGGACCTAGAGGACTTTGATCAAACAGGCTTTGCTTGTTCTTCCTTCTCTGCCATACCTAGTTCATAGTATAATGTAGTTATCTACAGCGATAGTTCTCTTCCTGGAGCAGGTCCTTTATCTAAATTCTTTTAGGCAGTTGAGGTGGGGAGGTAAAGAGCTTTTCCTGAATATGCTGTGTTTTGATTGCTTTTAGCTCAAAAATAATCTGCATGCCAAAGTGGTCCATCTTGGGGTAGTCTGCCCTTGGTGATAGATAAATGATGGAAAAAAAATTAATAAAAAAAAGCAAGTGTTGAGGAAACAATGTTGTATGTGTATATAAGATGAATCATTCAGTTGAACAAATAATTCTAAGGGACAAAGAATAACTCATACAGTATGCTTAAAGTATTATACCCATGACAGTAATTGGCAAGTGATAGGGGGAACAATGTTTGACAAAATAAAATATATGTTAGAAGAGACATGTCAGATACCTGTTAGCCTGATGCTAATTCGGGAAACAACTGAGAGTTTGTTCGAGAGCTTAAAGGCTGAGTGTGGTGGACGTACCACTGACAAATCCTTGGTCCAAAGCTCTGCCAGCTGCATGGGTCCAGGTCCTGTGACAAACCAGTGGAGAGGTGGTTGTATAGCTACTGTAGCTGGAACCTTATCTACGGTGCTTGAGGAGGCAAGAGAGGGTGGTTACCTGCCTCCTAATTTTTTATTTATGTTTTTTTTTATTCTTATGTTAATCCCCATACATTACATCATTAGTTTTAGATGAAGTGTTCCATGATTCATTGTTTGTGCATAACACCCAGTGCTCCATGCAGAATGTGCCCTCCTCAATACCCACCACCAGGCTAACCCATCCTCCCACTCCCCTCCCATCTAGAACCCTCAGTTTGTTTTTCAGAGTCCATCATCTCTCATGGTTCGTCTACCCCTCCGATTTCCCCCACTTCATTCTTCCCCTCCCGCTACCTTCTTCTTCTTCTTTTTTTTTTTCTTAACATATATTGCATTATTTGTTTCAGAGGTACAGATCTGAGATTCAACAGTCTTGCACAATTCACAGCGCTTACCAGAGCACATACCCTCCCCAGTGTCTATCACCCAGTCACCCCATCCCTCCCACCCCACCCCCCACTCCAACAACACCCGGTTTGTTTCCTGAAATTAAGAATTCCTCATATCAGTGAGATCGTATGATACATGTCTTTCTCTGTTTGACTTATTTCACTCAACATAATACCCTCCAGTTCCATCCACGTCGTTGCAAATGGCAAGATCTCATTCCTTTTGATGGCTGCATAATATTCCATTGTATATATATATACCACATCTTCTTTATCCATTCATCTGTCGATGGACATCTTGGCTCTTTCCACAGTTTGGCTATTGTGGACATTGCTGCTATAAACATCGGGGTGCACGTACCCCTTCGGATCCCTACTTTTGTATCTTTGTGGTAAATACCCAGTAGTGCAATTGCTGGATCATATGGTAGCTCTATTTTCAACTTTTTGAGGAACCTCCATACAGTTTTCCAGAGTCTGCCTCCTAATTTTCAACATAGAAGAAACTGATCCTTTTTGCAAAATGATGCCCCACAGATCTTATATCATTGAAGAAAGGGAGAGTGAGCCTGTTTTTAAAGCTCACATTCCTTATGGTGGACATTTATTCAGAGGCTGCAAGTCCAAACCCTTCAAAATTACACTGGGCTTTTGAGCAGACATACACAAAACCTGTTGGAACAGTTCTAACCTGTTCATAAATAAGAACTGCTGACTGTACTATTTTGGATGCAAAGCAGTTATGTATCCTTTTATAATATTAAAAAATAAGACAGAATATGGTAGGTAGTATTTGTGAAACCTGTAGGATTCATTTTTTTTGCCAAGTAATAAGCATAAAGAAACTTTTGACCTACAACTCATTTCCCATCGTTACAATGTTGACATAGTGGAAAAAGTATAAACTCTGGAACAAATCAGCTGTGTGATGCCAGCCAGATACACAACTCCTCTGCCATTCAGCCTCTTCCTCTCATAATTGGGCATTGTGTTGCCCATCCATCAGAGATGTTGTGAGAAAGAAAAATAATACTTATTAAGTCACTAGCACAGTGCCTGGTCATAATGGACCTTCCATGACTAATAGCACTCCCCATAATAGTCAAAATGCCCAACAGAGGGCTTGAAGGGTACCACCAGCGATTGCCATGGCCAGTTTTATCAACTAAGATAGACGAAACTTTTGTAACAAATAGACCAAAACCGCAATGGTCAAAACACAACAGAAGTTCATTTTTCTGTCTTATAACATCCAGGATGGGTTCTGGTTCAGGAGGGCCCAGGTCCATACGGTCAGTTAGGGACCGGGCTTTTGATGGCTCTCCTGTCTTTAGCAGTGGCATAATTGTGATCACCATTTCAGCCCAAAGGAAAGGGGAAGTGGTCTAGAGGCATGTGTTAAGGAGGTTTTAAGGGCTAGAAGAGAAGTGGCAAATACCAGTTATCACCTGCATTATAGTGGAGATAACATATTCCCACGGGCACACCTAGCTGCTAGGGCAGCTGGGAAATATAGTGTAGCTACTGTGAAAAAGGGGGTAAAATTGAGGTAGCCACACTGTTTTATCACATGGCATAGTAATGACCCTAAAGTATCCTCTGTGCCCCACACTGAATCTTGGTACCAACATTTTTCTGAAAATTTACTGACAATTTCTGATCGATACCAAAATTTAGGAGTGAATCCTCAGGCACAAGGCACATAAATCCTGGGCTGCAGGTGGCTCTATTAAGCTGTATGGGGCATGTGGCTTTTCATGCTGGGACTTGGCCCAGACTCTGCGCTCGGGCCAGGGACAGGGTGACAGGGACCAGGTAACTGACCTGGTCTAAAGAGGCCCTCAGTGTGATATGCCAGATCAGTCACAATGCCTGAGCAGTTGGCATGTGGCAGGCAAGAGTGACACCAGGGAATCCAGGCAATGGATCTGGGAACCCCACTGGCAGGAGTTGCCTCCTGGGAAATCTGTCTGGAGCAGCAGAAACCCAGACAGTGGTCTGGGTAATAGTGGTGGGAGAGGAGGGGAGGGAGTGCGATCAGGCAGGGAAAGTGGGCAGGGCTCCTACACAACGAACTGATATTCCAGTCTTGCCTCTGGTCCTACCTAGATAGGGAGCAAGGCATATGCAGTTAAATGGCAGAGACTGAGTTTCTCTGGTCTGAGCTAAAACAGGGGATGAGGTAGAGCAGGGATGAAGAGAAGAAGAGAATTTAAATTAAGGAATAATGGTGATGTCTAGAAGTCATTCAGGGAACCTAGGGCCAGCTGGGAATAAAATACAGAAACCCACTTGTCATGAGCAAACCACCAGCTCCAGGATCTTGAGCAATAATTCATTTCTAAGCCCTACTGAGTGGGAAGGCGCTGAGGCTTTGCATACCTGCTGCCTCAGTCATTATTGGCTCAGGAACTCAGGTGCCGGTGGGAAACTTGGGTGCATCCACCAGCGGGGCAGGGGCACGTTAGGGGACATTGAAATGAGAGGAGCACGAACAGGTTATCTACTAAAATTGCATTGTAGCTCTAAATGGTATAAAAACATGTTTCATTTAATTTTTAGTCACTCTCCAGTTCCTCAAGAAATATTCAACAAATGTTGGCAGATTCTATCAATCGTATGAAGGCATATGGATTTCACCAGGTAAAGACTTACATTCTGTCTTCAGGGGGCTAAATGCATAGCCATTTCCACTAATGTTTCACAAATTGGTGTATTAGTCTCATGCAGAAATGAAAGCAGCAGAATGTGAAATTTGTCTTTAAAAGCTTGTGAACATAGCTATTCATACCTGTTTATCTGGAGTTGGAAACGTCTTAAGTATCATGGAAAGAACAGATGCCAAGACATATCTGCTAAACTCCTCATGGAAGATCTAACACAGAGACAACATCGTGGGCTGCAGCGAACACTGAGGGAAGACTGATTTCAGAGAGCAATAAATGAAGCATTTACCTTGGCAGAAATCGTGAATGCAGATTAAGTTCCTTATGTGTTCCTTGTTTCTGTGAGCTTGACCCTGTTCGATGAGCAGCCTCTTGTGCCATCCATGCCCACTGTGCTAGGAGCACCTTCAGGCACTCAGATCTCACACATCCATCCGGGTGTGATTCCCTGACAGGCAGAGAGCCAGCTTCCTCCATCGTGCTGGATTGTATCACATCGTACATTCCTCACAATAAATGGAGCATAGATGGGCAGCTGGAAACCATAGTAGGATTGGACCTGCAGAAAGTTTGAAAAAGTAGTGCAAGATACGGAGCTGTAAAGAGAAGGTTCTGAGTGACCACAGGCCTGAGATGGGGCAGAGGCCCATGTTCCAGTGGACAGTGCAATCTGCAGGGACATGCGTGAACTGGGACAGCTCGCATGGAGACTTGGAGAAACCATGATGAATTTCTGCAGTGTAGTCCCAGTGTGCATCCTGCTGATATAACATGTACCTTTCTAAAACAGAAACAATAGAGCATCTAAAGGAGAATTTCAGTAACACTGCCTGGATTACATTGTTTCATTTTAAATGATAGAAAAACAAAGGATCTGTGTATTTATTCAACCAACATCTGTTGAGTTTCTCCTATGTGCTAGGCCCTTTTACAGGCATTGGAAGCATCATGAACAAAACAGATAGAATCCTTGCCGTCAGGAAGCTTATATTCTGGACGAGGGAGACAGACAACAAGCACATCTATGAGGTCAGATGGTCATAAGTTCTGTGGAGAGAAATAATGCAGGATAAGGGAGCTGAGGAATGCTGGGAGGGTGGGGATTGGCTTTTTATAGATGTGGTCAGAGAAGGCTACCCTGAGAAGGCACTACCGAAGCAGAGACCTGAAGTAATGAGGGAGGGAGCCATGTGGATGGTGGGGAAATTATGCCCCAGGCAGAGGCAATACCAAGTATGAAGGCACGAAGCCAAGAGCTCGCTTGACATGGTCAAGGAACGGCAGAGAGGTCAGTGAATGAGAAGGGAGATTAGGGCTGAGAAATCATGTATACTTTTATAAGGAATCTGGTATCTTGGTGTTATGTCAAGCCATGATGAAAGATGAGATCATTTAGAGAGTGAGTCTAGATGGAAAAGAGAGAGCCTGAGCAATCTTGTCTCCAAAATAAGGGGGATAGACTCAATGGTTCTCAAGCATTTTTAGATGTGAGGCAGTCAGATTTTCATAGTCTTCACACCCTCGCATGAGAACACCCAGAGCCATGGGCGAATGCATTCCTTCTCTAACTTAAGAAATTATATGGGAACTCAACAGAATGAACAAGAAGATAGATCACTTAGCCAGCTTCTCTATAGAACAAAAATAATAAAACAGAGCTTTCTGACTTTGGAGGCAATGGAGAGGGTCTAATGAGGAAACCGGTGGGAAGTATTTCCATTAGCAGGCTGGGATGAGAGTCTTTCTGTGGGAGATGTTTTGACATCAAACTGCCCATCCCCATGTCTAAACCTCAGCCTGTGGGTGTTTGGACCAGTGTCCAGCCTCAGCCCTGCTGCCCCTTCACCCCTCAGCCTCTACCTGACTTTCACACGCTTGCGCTCACCATCCCCATCCTGGACCTATATGCTTCTTGCGAACACTTCTAAACACGAAATAATGGTTTGGTTTCCTAAGTAGAGGAAGTAAAGACCAACCTGTAAATATTTTGCTAAAAGTAAATTTTCTGGAGGAATTCTTAGAGAAAGTCAGGACAAGTCCATAAGGTTTCTAGCTGCTCTGAATAAATAGAGTGATCAGGGCTCATCTCATCCATTACTCTGTGAAACTCATTAATGTGTCTCCTCTCCCTCTGTGCCCCATACTTAATAACACTGCTGGTTAAAAAGGAGTATGATTTACTAGCTATAGCACTCCCCAACATTTGATTGTCATCAACCACGTACCACCTGCATTATTAGTGACTGAATATTTCTCCTGAAGTAGATTCACTTTGTAAACGTCTTGCTTTTCCTAAGCAGCACTATCCATGCTATCATGGTTTAATGTTATGGCTCTTTTCCAACCATTTTAAATCATTTTAAAATATGCATGTGGGGGCGCCTGGGTGGCTCAGTTGGTTAAGTGACTGCCTTCGGCTCAGGTCATGATCCTGGAGTCCCTGGATCGAGTCCCGCATCGGGCTCCCTGCTCGGCAGGGAGCCTGCTTCTCCCTCTGACCCTCCCCCCTCTCATGTGCTCTCTGTCTCTCTCATTCTCTCTGTCTCAAATAAATAAATAAAATCTTAAAAAAAAAAAATATGCATGTGGAAGATGAACAAAGCTCAACTTTTAAGTTTTTTTCTGTTTAAGCTTAGAAATTGCTAGCAGTCCTTTTTATGTATTTCAGGTTTATAAATGGCTTCAGTAAGGTGATAGCAAATTTTAACAGTCATTTAAAACACCAAAAGCTGGTTTTTTGGTTTTTATAATATTAGGAAACCAAGGGGCCTTAGCTCTAGGCAGGAAAGAAAGTAAGAAAAAAAATGAAAATTATAAATACACAAAAGTTTAGTTACACCTGAAATGAAAGACAGTGTATGAATGATCACCTCCTACATTAACTGTGATTTATGACTTCCCACAATGATGGAAAACAAGTTTCACAACATCAATGTTTATATTTCAGTTGGGTAAAATAATGTAACAGAAAGAATGTCTTTATCTTTCTTTTTTTTTTTAAGATTTTATTTATTTATTTGACAGAGGGAACGAGAGAGCACAAGTAGGGGGAACAACAGAGGGAGAGGGAGAGGGAGAAGCAGGCTTCCCACTGAGCAGGGAGCCTGATGTGGGGCTCGATCCCAGAACCCTGGGATAACGACCTGAGCCAAAGGCAGATGCTTAACCATCTGAGCCACCCAGGCACCCCTGTCTTTATCTTTCTGTAGGAAAACACAAAAGAAAAAAAAAGACCTGTCAATTCTGAGATGCAGAGTGAAGCATGGTCAGTCTTTTCTGACCCCCTCAACTTGCTTCATTATTTAGGTGACCAAGGCTTTTATTTAGTTCACCAAGTGCTAAATTCAGCTTTCTAATAAGCACTCAGAAGGCAATACCCAAAAAAGTACTTTTTAGACCTAAGTGATTTGGTGTGTTAGTTTTTCTTTAGTTAAAAACTAATTCCCTTCAAGTGTACTTAATGCCACAGAGCTGTTCGCTTCAAAATGGCTAACATGGTTTTTATGTTATGTGTATTCTTCCACAATTTTTAAAAAGGTTAAAATGATAATTTTTATGTTATGTATATTTTACAATTTTAAAAACAAATTGCCTTTTTAAGGAAGACTCGTGTTTCTTATATTTCTTGAAGAGGATGCTTTGTAAAAAAAAGTTTTTTTAAACAAGAAATATTCCTTTTTGGGTCACCTAAAATCATGTGTAAGTTCCACATTTTTAAATAATTTTTTTTAAGATTTTATTTATTTGAGAGAGAGAGAGAGAGAGAGAGAGCAGCGGTGGGGGGAGGGGCAAAGGGAGAGGGATAAGGGAGCCAGGGAGCCCAGTGTGGGGCTCGGTCCCAGGGCCCTGAGACCATGACCTGAGCCAAAGGCAGACCCTTGACGGACTGAGCCGCCAGGCGGCCCTGGCACCACGTTTTAGACACAATGGTTTGAGGGCACACGGAGACACGGCTGAGGCTGCTCTAGAAACATACCGTTATCGTCATGGAGCCTGTCAGGTGCTGCAGTGTTTATGCTGCTGCCATGAAGCGGTGTTTACACACTGCTTGAGGGAATTCAGTTTAAAACAGCTAAGTGCTGTGTTTGAGGAAAATGAATATTTATTGAGTCTTACTATGTGTTACAGACTATGCGAGACACTTTTTAAATATTATTTAACCCTCACGATAACCCTATGAAATATTTTCAATTTTCTAATTCTATTTAGGCGAAGACAGCCTAAGAGAGGTTTGGTAATGGGCCATGTGGTCGCACAGCTAGGTCCTGATAAAGTCAGCCTCAGGTATCACCAACCCCAAATTGCCTAGCCAGGGGGCCAGAGGGAGTTACATAGAAACCAGCCCCTCAGTGTCCCTGACTCCCCACCTCCTCCTCTCCCCTCTTCTTCTTCCTCCTCTCAGAATACTGCCAGAGGTACTCACTAGTGTTTGTTTCTGTTTTTGTTCTTGTTTTTTTTTTTTAAACAGAAGAAAGAATCCGTGAAGAAAACACAAGATGAAGAACTAAAACAAATAGATGAGGAGAAAACCAAGCAGATTTATAAAAGCTGGAAAGAAGATTCAGAGTGGCAGGCATCTCGTGAGTACCCAGAGGCCTCCATAACACCTTAGACCCTCCAGGCCAATTCCTTCTCTTAACAAATAATCCATCTAAGAAGCACTTAAAATAGTTGTTGAGAGAATTATTGCTAAGTTGTTACACAAAGGCTTACGAGTCACTTCTTGAATAGTAGAAAGGTTCTCCATTCATCTTTGTACCATCACAGTTGTGATATAGCTATTTGATGGAATGGTATATAGCTCTGAAAAAACATGTTTTGGAAGAGGGTTTAATGACCTTGGGATATGTTTGTATCTTTTTTTCGCTTGAAGAAGAAAAAAATATAATAAAAAGTATGAAAAATATCCCTCTTTTAGGATAGTAAAAGAACTGGAAGGTTATTAGCATGTTAACAACTTTTTTTGGAGGGATGGGATTTGAGATTTATTTGAATTCTTCTTGTTATTCTGTACTTTTCTAAATTTTCAACAGTGAACTCACCTTAACTTTGTAATAGAAGAACCCAGGAATAAAAGGTTGGATATATCAGCGTCCCTCCCATACCTGTGACCTAACCCTGACTCCTTTTTGAGTTAGCACTGCCAGAGATAAAACCCCTCAGGAAGAGGTCAGTGCAGGCTAAGGCAGAGCAGAGCATGCTCAGGGATGCTAGGGAAAAATGCAGCTCTGAGACATGATGAGGGTTTCCAGCTGACTCAGAGGTTTACCAGCCAGGTCATCCCTTGAGGCCACTTGAGAGCGAGAACAGGAGAATGGGAGTGACAATGTTTGCAGGATGTGGAGAATCCTGTCTTCATTTCCATTACAATGAACACCATTAACATGACAGTTTTGTGAAATGAATATATTTGCAAGATCCAGTCATTTCCATGCAGTGAAATTCTAGTGTAATGGAATATTTTTGGCATCTCTTTGAAGTCCAGCATAACAGGGCTTGACCAAAAGCACATGAAGTGCAAACACACTCAATGAAAATTAGTCTTAGCATCCTGCATTAGAGCTCTTTACTACTGTGTTGCTAAAACAGAAACAAAACAAAACAATAAACCCTCTATTTTACAAAGCAACATTAAAAGGTGGCCTTGGGGTGCTTTTTATGTGTACCAGCACATTCTTTGATTGTGGTGAGAATCATTTTATTTTTTTGGTCTGGTAGGCCAATTCACATTTGGTTCAGCTCTTTGGGGGCTCTGAGTGTGACCTGTGGTGAGCCTCTCTGATCTCTCACCCTGTGCACAGCCACGAGCCACTGCGCCGAGCAGTTCCTGACAGCCTGATCTTTGCTAGTGATGTCCTGAGCTGAGCTGAGGGATGTGATACACCTCTTCCTATTCAAAGGCTCCCAGCCAGTTGGAATTCGCACTCAGGCTGTGTCTCATCACTTAGTCTTACCCAAGTGCAGGGAATTCTCAAACATGTGGTTCTCCATTTCTGTCGCCTCCCTTCCTCCTCCTCCTCCTTCTCCCCCTTAGGAAGTCCTAAAACCCTCTTAGAAATACAAGAATTCTGCAGGGAATGCTGGGCAATTGTGAATGTGCAGGCCCGAATTATGTGAGTCCTAGGTGTTGATAGTGATTGTTCGTTATTATCAGCCGATGACAGATCTCCTGAGAGACTGCTCTCTTCACCAGCTGATTCTTCTCACCATCTCTGTGGGCTGACCAGGGCCTTTCTCAAACCCCCTTGTTTTTCTAGTGCGAAAATCCAAAGCAGCTGATGAGAAGAGACGCTCTTTGGCTAAACAAGCGCGGGAAGACTACAAGAGGTTATCCCTAGCGGCTGAAAAAGGAAGAAGCGGTGAGGGACCACAAAGCGCCCCAGGTGTTCCACAGAAACCAAAAAGACCCCCCCTTCCACCCAAGCCTCATTTCCTAAACCTGGCGGGATACCCTCGAAAGCCTCTTAGGTAAGAAGCCACACAGATGGCTTTAAGCATAGCAGTTGAAACTGGCTGATTAAAGACAAATTGCATTATGGGCCATGGGGAGTGGAAGACCAGCTGGCTGCCTGTGTAATTAAATTCAGCCTCACCTCTAAGCCTGTCTTCCCAGATACCTCGTCTGGATTCATCCTCTTCTTATCTATAAAATATCCATAGTTTGTTATAATTAAGATGCCCAATAACTTAGAGAGGATGCACATCGAGTTCAGTCCCTTCCTGCACCACCAGCGCACCCCCACCCCCACCTAGTGGCAGTAGGTGAGCCAGTGAGGGGAGAAGCAGAAACAATGGGGGTTTCATCAGGGCTCAGTATCGCTCTTAGTAGGAAACAATATCAAAGTAGGAACCTAAAGGCTTGCTGACTTTCATGGTATCATAGAGTTATATTTTCATTGCTCAGGATTAAAGATTTGATGGTAATCCTCATTCTGGGTTACAGAGCCAAGTTCATATGTTGAGAATTTGGAACTGTTCCTTCTTTGAATGAATACTTTTTTGGTCATGGTGGTGCCTTTGCCTCCTAGGCTATAGGAAATTAGGTAGAACAGTTTGTTTTGTAGAATCCCTGAAGAAAAATACAATGATATCATAGCAGAAACCCCCTTTCCCTTATGTTAGTTAACTGATTCTAAAATTATTTTCTCCTGGATATTATGATTTCTTCATATTCTAATATATAGAAAGACCTTATTTAAAATATACCAGAAGAATCAAATAGGGATTGAATGAAACAACTATCTAAAGCCTTGCCTTCTGAAATGAAAACCAAAAATATTTCTCTGTTACAAGTATGGAGAAATAAAAAGCAAACAAATCTCTCTTTGCTTGGAGTCAGTAGTGATCTTCAAGGCTTTTCCTAATGGGGATTATGACCTCAGAGGAAACAGGAAGGTGGACCTTTTCCTTTACTATAATTATTTCTACTTACTCAACTGAAAGGTTCCATTTTGGGATGTGGAGACCAGAACTAAAAGATCATGTTCTACGAAGTGACAGTTTGGGGAATGGTTTTTTTCTTAGAGACAAAAACCTAAGAAAAGTAATCAGAAACAGGTGTCCTCGCAGTTTTGTGACCAGGTCACAACGGTGTGAGCTCCTGCCCAGGGTCCTCTTCAGTGCCCGAGCTGGTGTGTGCATTGGCCCCAGATCCCCAGCAGGGCTGTTTGTGTACCTGCCCCTGTTCTCCAGGCTCTTCCAAGGGTGTGACTATGACTTGTAATATGCCCTGGCCCACACTATTTTTAGTGCACAGTGTATGTGATTGACAGCAGTGAAGGTGGCCTTTAATAAGGGCAATTCTTGTTTCGAGCTGTGCTAATTGAGCTCAGTTTTTCCAACTTAATACACTTGCATGAAATGCTTCTTGTGAGGCATCCAGACTGGATGGTTTTTGGGGTGGGACAACAGTATGTGACCAAGGTCAGCTAGGAGCCAGCCCAAGAAAAGACAGAGATTGGCTGTCCTTCGAGTTTTTCTTTAAACTCCAAAGATTTCCCAAAGAAAAAGAACCTAATTTGAAAGCTAATAAGAGCACTCATGTAATCTCATGTGTGTGCAGGATCTGATTCCCAAAGAAGTCAAATATTATAGGCTATCTTCTCCAAAATGCTATGTATGTATGTATATGAATATGTACACACGTATATGTACATCTGACATATGTCACATGTAACTCGCGGGGCCATGTGTTACCATAAAATGCAGAAAGAGCCATAAGTTAATTTACATGACAGGCATCCCAGTCGTTCATCCAAACTCGTCATTGTTTTTACCCTGAATTCTGCTCAAAATTAGTGGGCTGTTCTATGAGACTTGGAAATGTTTATTACATTGCAGTGTTATTTTTTGTAATGGAAATTGACTTACATCCCAGAACTTTAGTTCTGCAACTGAATATATTTCAAAATGATTCCACCACTTGTATCTTTTTCTTACCAATTTTCAAACACTCTTCTTTCTTTGACTTTATTTTTCTGAGACTGTCTTTAGCAGAACCAAACCTCTTCAAAGTGTGGGAGAGAAGAAAGCAAGTCAGGGAGGTTGGAAACAGAAGGAAGAGAAAGTTTAATACTGAAAATGTTAGGAAGGAAATTTATTTTATTGCATTTCTTTTGTTTGCAAGAACATGCTCCCAAGGAAAATAGTGCTGGGGGTGTATTTCACTTTTTAATGTTTATTTTCTCAAATTTTAATTGGAAGTTAATGGAGCTTTTATTCATATAAAAATGAATTAAAATCTATTTTTAATAGATTAACACAGCAGTAGCTCATACCCTATGACTAGCCCTATAGGACTGGAAAGACAAGTGACAGATTTATGTTTCTTCCTATTTTGTTGACTAGCCCTTGAGGAGTTAGTTGTATAATGGCAGTAATTAGGGGTCTGACTTCCCATTAGCTCAACCCATGTAATTAGGTCTTCAAATATATATAATCCTATCTCCCTTTATACATGATTTTTATATACAGGATATATATGATTTTTGACGGCATTGTTTTCAAATTAGTTAAACCTAAATTGAACTGTTTTCTAAATCACAGAAACCAGGGAATGACCAGGATGGCATCCAACTCTGCCCAGGAGGACATCATTCGGTGGTTTAAAGAGGAGCAGCTACCACTGCGAGCGGGCTACCAGAGAACCTCAGACACCATAGCTCCCTGGTTCCATGGTGAGTACACAGGTGCCCTCGACGGAACCTCATCTGATGACAGATGAAGCTGTGTTCGTCTGTTAATCCACCAGGAGGGCAGAAAGAATAAAGGCTTCCTTTTATTTGTGCTGCCCAAGAAGAGTCTTTGAAATTATTTTCACAAAGCAGTTTTTCAAAGGTTTCTCAGTGAGTTGCAAGCTCATGACGGATTTAGAAAACAGTGAGCAGTTGTGGTCTCAGCATGTACTGTGGGGTAATTTATCACCACAAATAAAACACCACTGGGTGGGTGGGGAAAGCGGTGCCTCCTGTTCACCTACACTAGGGCACTTGATTGTGATCTCCTGCAAATGGCAATGCCTTCCATCCACCGTTCACAGCTGGGAGAGTCAGATACGCCCTTGGGTGTGGTGGGCAGGGCACTGGTTTAGCCGTCAAAGGGTCAGCTCTCCATTAGCAGTTGAGTGAGCAAATCGTCTTTCTCTGTAACAAGTTGTATGAGCCTCATTTTCCTCACCTATTAAGTGAAGGAGTTGAATTTTATGATCTTTAACCTGAAAATTCTGTTACTTTTATCTGTGGTTCCATTAAGCAGTTGAAGCTGTCAGGTGAGTTTGTTAGAACCTGAGCAGATATTACCTAATAAACCATTTCTTAATTTGACACTAGAAACTTGATTAATTCAAGCCCTCTGTCTAGCCAGCACACATTTCACTGTCCTCTCAGTCTCTTGGACTTCAGGAAAAGAAGTGGTTTCTTGCCTCAATTGGCTTCCTTAGGGTCTGTGGTTGAATTGGATTAATTGGTTCTATGTATAACAAAAGTACTTTGAAACAAAAATAAGATTCTTTCACAGAGCACACTTGTCCTAAAGGGTATCTTGTTTTGAATCATGTTGAAGCCTTCTCTCTTTTATTTTTTTTTATTTTTTAAGAGATTTTATTTATATGAGAGAGCGAGCGAGCATGGGGGAAGGCAGAGGAAGAAGCAGACTCCCTGCTGAGCAGGGAGCCCAATTCAAGGCTTGATGCGGGGCTCAATCCCAGGACCCTGGGATCATGACTGGAGCCGAAGGCAGATGCTTAACCAACTGAGCCACCCAGGCACCCAGAAGGCTTCTCTCTTAATTAGTATCATGTCACACACAAATATTTCCACGAAAGTACGGTCCCAAACAACTAACATGGCAAACTTCTAAAAAGAAAAAAAGTATTTGTAGTAGGCCCCCTGCTAAAGGGCTGCTTTCACAGTCAGATCATTATAGAACTGTCTAGCTTTCCTTGAAAATACGTGTCTTTGGTGATTCAGGCTTTAGTAATTATCCATTCCCTGAGGAGCTCCTCTGTCCTCTTAGGACTAGGTCATAAGCCTACTTCCTTTCCATTCTGTTCAGAAGACATTGGAAGAAAGCGTGACATCAGTGTCAACAGGTGAATGTTTCATGTTGCCTTTTTTTTTCCTTTTTAAGATAAGCACTGACAAAATCAGTACTTTATAGTTTCTGTGTCATTGGGCAGAAGATCTTATCATCCCTGATTACAAGGGTGGTAGTTCATTTTAATAACAGGAAATAAGAAATTGAAAGTGTTGATTAATGTTTAAAAATCCTGGTACTTTAACAGGCAATTCCATTTGAAACAGTTGCTAAAAGCTAGGAAGATAAAGTTGGACTAAAAATCCGGTTGGAACCTTGGTTAAAAAAAGAAGCTCTTGAGTTTTACATATAATAATTTATTAGTTGCTATTGTTATTCATTTATTTTCACTTATATAAATATTTATCATAGTTATAAGCAAAATAAATGATACAATATAATGAAATAATACACAGCCATATACTCAATGTAAGTCATTTTCTTCTGTTTTAAGAAGACAGAGTTTCACATGTTTCTATGATAAAGAGAAGAAGGATCATATCTTATATTTTTGAAATATAATTGTTTATTTTTTTTTAAGATTTTATTTATTTATTTGACAGATAGAGACACAGCGAGAGAGGGAACGCAAGCAGAGGGAGTGGGAGAGGGAGAAGCAGGCTTCCCGCTGAGCAGGGAGCCCGATGCGGGGCTCGATCCCAGGACCCTGGGATCATGACCTGAGCTGAAGGCAGACGTTTAATGACTGAGCCACTCAGGCGCCCCTATAATTATTTATTGATCACGAGCCCTGTTTGAAATAATGGGATGGTAGCTCTTCTGTACTGGTTTGCCATCGTCCTTCTGTTATACACTCCATAAGTTGCCTTTCTTATATTACTGTTTTGGTCAGCTAATTTTTCCCCACGGAAGTTCACACTTTCACCCTTTTCATTAGCTTTAGACAGGATGGAAGTGGGTAGGAGAGGACAAGGGAAATGAAGACCACTGGATCTCTGGCTTGTGGAGCCGGGTGGAAGGTGGCATGCTATCAGTTGGGAGAAAGAATACAGGAGGATCCAGAGATTACTGGGATTAAAAAAGAAGGGCGACAATGAATTTATTTTGGTTATGATGAGTTTGAAATGTCTTTGGGGCAGTCATGTGAAAAAATCTATTTGGTAATTGGATTAACAGATCAGTGCTAGAGATAATGGATTAGAGTCATTAGCACACAATGAAAAGCATGGGAGAGGATGACATTTTCCAGGAGTGCCCTGAGAAGATGGTTAAGAGAAGACCGAGGACAAGACCCCAGGAAGCACTAACACTCAGTGCGATGGCAAAGAAGAGCAGAGACCCCACATCTTTGTCTCAGGTTTCCTTTCCCACTTGGGGTCATGATGAGGCAAATATCTGGCCATGGGTGCCAGTTCAATGGGCAGTAAAGTAGGGTATTGCCTCTGATCTCCTAGATGTAAGAGCTTGGAAAATCCCAAGCGCAAGAGAGATCCAGAAATGCAGTACTGAACTCTACTTTGTGAGCATCTTTTGATGATCTCAAGCACATCTAGAAAAACAGTCTCCCCACTTCTGCTCCTCTCTCAGCAAGCTTTTCTCACAGAGGCCATGGGGTCTCAACTTTCACTGGACTTTTTGGTCCAGCTTGATCCGATTATTGCTCCAGATCCATCTCAAACCACGTTCCTCACAGAACCCTGCCTTGATCACTCCTTTCCCCCACACGTTGCCCTTCTGTCCCTGACACACCACACTCGCCCCTTTCCTAGGGCCTTTGCAGTTCTTCCTGAAGATCCTTCCATGGCCAACATCTTAAGGAGCTGGCTCACACGACTGGAGGCTTGTTGAGCCCCAAATCTGCTGGGCAGACTAGCAGGCTGGAGACTCAGGGAAGACTGGCAGCTCAAGTCCAAAGGCTGAACACTGGCAGAATCCCTTCTTGCTCAGGGAAGGTTAGTCTTTGTTCTTTTAAGGCCTTCAGCTGATTGGATGAGGCCTACCCACGTTATGGAGGGTTTTTCTCTCTTCCCTCATTTAAAAAATAATTTTTTTTTTATTAGGAAATGTTTTGAACAAACAGTACAAAGGAAACTATAAGTAACACCAATGATGTAACAAATGTTGTATCTACTTTCTAGGACACAATGAATGTTAGAAGCTATATTTACCTCATACCTGTTTTTCTTATTAAGAAATAAAGCCTGAAAGAATTAAGGCCCTCTCTTTTACTCCCTTATTGACATCTAATTACTTCTCTCCCAGGGGTGAACCACTCTTTTGAAGTTGTCCTTTTCATCCATATTTTTATACTCTCACTATGTATGTGTATGTGTGTGCATTTTTATAAAATATATAAAGATATATATAAAACATGCAATATTGTGTTTCACATTTACATGGTATCATGTTATAGGCATTTTTCTGCAGCTTGAGTTTTCTCCCAACATTACATTGTCTAGATTTTTCTTTGTTTCTAAATGTAGACTGGCTCATTTGTTTTACCTATTGTGCAGTATGTTATAATATACATATTATATACTGTTGGAGCTGTAATTTTTTGAGGGTCTAATATGTGCCAAGCATTACATTGAGCACTTTAAAGGAAGTAACTTTTATTCCCACTTTATAGAGGTAAGAACCTAGAAACTAAGAAGTTCTTTTCAGGTTTCTACCATTAGTGGCAATATTCAGAGCCAGATCTACTTAACTTCAAAGTCACAGCATATCTGAGCACTAATACAAGTGGGAACACCCATGTCATGCTTTTTATATAAGTTGGAAATTTAAATCAGTGAACAGTAATAACCACAGAGATTTGTTTCTCCAATACATGAGTGAGTTCACTAAATCTCACAGTGGTGAAGTAAAAGTGTCAAGGAACCTTCATTCAGCATAAGTTTTGCCCCATCCCCACCTATGAGAATAAGAAAAAAGCACATTTTTGTCCAGACACTATTTTGCTCACTCCCAGGTAGAATTTCAAGAAGCAGATATGTAGCACTCAAATATTTAATACAATGCCCCAAGGCCACAAGGGTTTGGAGTAATAGAAATGGAATCTATTTATTTTGCGGTAGTGGTTACCTAACTGTATACATTTGTCAAAAATGATCATTTGCACACTTAAAATTGGTGAATTTTATTGTATATAAATTATATCTCAAGCTGATTTTTTAAAAATGTGAAGTCCAAGAAGCACAGGGTTTTCTTAGTTCTTAGCATGGAAAGATAGTGCAGTTGACCATTGAACAAGGTGGGGGTTAGGGTGCCAACCCCTTGCACAGTTGAAAATCCACAAATAAATTTGGACTTCCCGGAAACTTAACTACAAACTGCCTGCTGTTGACCAGAAAACTTACTGATAACATAAACAGTTAACACATATTTTGTATGTTATATGTATTATGTACTGTAATCTTATAATAAAGTAGAGAAAAGAAAAATTAAGAAAATCATAAGAAAGAGAAAATGCAGGCGCCTGGGTGGCTCAGTCGTTAAGCGTCTGCCTTCGGCTCAGGTCATGATCCCAGGGTCCTGGAATCGAGTCCCACATCAGGCTTCCTGCTCGGCAAGAAGCCTGCTTCTCCCTCTCCCATTCCCCTTGCTTGTGTTCCTGCTCTCGCTGTCTCTCTCTGTCAAATAA